TTGGTAGAACTGCTGTATTCAAAATTAGATGTCAGCCTGAGAAGCATTCCCAACTTCCTTATTTTTATTAGAGAATTTCCTCAAAATGTTATCAAAGTGTAAGTATTGAGTTTAACCTTACTTATCTAAAAAGAATTCCTTCCACACAACTTCTGTCACATTTCACTTGTGGAAAAAATGTTAACTTTCATAGCTTTATTATGCAGCAATTCAAACAGAAAATATGCTTAACTGTAACTGAGTTATTACACATTTAAGTATTAAAGGTTTTTCAATCTTTCACTGGAACTTGCAACAGCATTTCCAGTTCCATACAGAATTTAAATATAAACAAGAATCAGAGAGCCCACAAGTTCCTCCTGTTAGATACACTTGCAAAGCTGCACTTTTAAATATAAAACAAAATGCATATTGATGAAAGAACATTAAGGACACTTGCAAAACTTTACCTTATAGGTTACAGTGCAATTATACCCAGAAAAGGCTTTTAAAATCCTGCTTCTACTCCAACACATTCTGCTTCTAGTCATATATGGTCTTGAAGTCTCATTCAGGGCAATTCTAGAGGTCAGAATTTGAGATTTTTCAAAAATGAATGATTTTGAGAACATGCACTGCTTTAAAATATTCAGAGATTTTTTAAAAGTTTTGGGTTTTTTTTTTTTGGTCTGCCTGTTTTGTGGGTTTTTTTTTGGTTTTTTCTTTTCTGTGTTTTGTTCAAAGAAAATCAGCTAATACTTCCAAAGCAGAAAAAAAAGTTTGTTTGCATTAAGGAAACACCCGAACCTCCCACACTGGTGAGCTTGTACGTGCAAGTGCAATCTCCTGTCAATGTATTACATGTTAAAGACAAAGTTACTCATATGAGAGAGCACATTTTACTGGCATAGACTTTTCATCTCAAAACAGTGACTAAAGAAAATCGTTCTTTAAACAATGTGTCAAAACTACACTGCAGAGTTTGTTAGTGTAAGACATCCACCTTTATTACTTTGACTTGTAGGCTTTGACATGTAATTCAAGAAGTTACAAAGTTACCCAGTGCACCAGGAAATACTTGGAAGTAGTGCTGGCTCATTTTCACAAATGGGACTGCTTCCACATCAGGAGAGAAGTTTTGCTCTAATTACAGTAAGCTCTGTAATTAGCAAGACCTACTGTTAAATCCCACCTTCCTGAACAAGTGGAACTACCAAGAGATAACCTTACTGAAAAAAATATGTGGTCCCTTTCTTATCTTTTTTTTTTAAGATAATGTTTGACAATTCCCATATTCATAGCCTCAGCATTTGAAAGAATGCAGAAGCTAATTTTGCACTAAAAGAGACAGATGTGTTATCTTTTCCTACAAGGATTCTCTCCTTTCCTCCCCGAAGGCGTCCCAATTTTCTCAGGCTTTATACTGATATCAACACAGCTATTTAACTCCTATGCACCAAAAACCCACTGCAGAACACTGGTTTTAGGATTTAAATAGTTTTAATCCTGTTTTGCATTTGCACTGCTGTTTTGTTAATTAATATTTACATTAGTAAATGCAACTTTTACATCAAAATCAGTACCTTCTGCTAATCATTACCTAAATTCATGTAGATAAATTACAGCTTTTATATTCACACTAATACACTCATTAAATACATTTTTACATGCACTTAATTACTTTGATGCAGCCATAGGTAGGAAAACAGAAGCTTGAATAAAATTAAACTGCAAAAAATGATTACTAGACTTTAACAAAACTACTTCAAATATGCTGGATAAATAAAGAGGTGTTGCACTCGAAACTTAAGGAAGATGCACTACGCATAGGAAGGGCACAGAAGCAATGACCTCCCCCTGCTATCTCCTGTAAGAGCTCAGGGCCTCAAGATTTCCACCTCTCACACCTCATTTTTATTTATAGGCTGAAGCAAACAATCTTATGTTATTCCACCTATTTAAAAGCTTCTGAACTTTCAGTGACCTACATGAATAAAGTGACTATGGAACAATGTATCTCACAAAAGCTGGTTTTAGCACTGGAAAATCCCTGGTACTGAATGCTAAATCCAGTAACTTTCACTGGTAATGGCCCAACTTTGTATCTTTGGATGTATACAAATCTTAATGCCATAATTACTACAAATAGCCCTCAGGTTTTTTTTTAAAGAAGAGCTTTTTCAAACTTATCCCCATGCTGTCATCACTGAAAGATAAGCAAAGTTTCAAAAATCTCAAGCTAAAATGTGAATCTAAGGTGCAAGACTGGGTTCTAAACCAGTTATGCAACCTTGCATACTGAAACCACCTTCTTTTTGTAAACTGGCTCTTCTCCTTCCTTGGTTTTAAAACTTCCTTACCCAAACTGCAACCCTCTGTTTGCCACTACCAGTTCATGCCTTTTCTGTACTCTCAACTATGCTAAACACTGCAAGTTTTAAACCTGAATTATGTTAGAGCTAAATACAGCCATCCCAAACTGACTACTAGATAGCAACAGGAAGGCATAGCTGCTATAAATGGAATTGCTTACTGCCTTTGCAACACTTAAATCTATTGACTATACATGAATCAAGATGTGAACTGAAAACTGTTCAGAACTTGTATCATTGCATCACTTGATCTCCTACTTATTTATTCTTTTACAGCAGTATTATTACTTCGAAAAGGAGGAAAAAAAAAAAGTTATTTGCTCACCTTCTTTCCTCCTTGAATTTCTGCAGGTTTAACCAGTGTCCCAGTTATGCAAAACTACCCACATCTGAAATTACCTACAAAACTATATCACCACCACCACCTCAATCAGCCTTCAATACTATCAGTTCCATGGGATTTTCATGGGAGAAAAGTATACGAAGGAACAATGCGATTTATCCCCTGTGAAAATGAAATGTAGGAATAGATGAAGACAAACATTATTTATAATCCAACCGGATGGGTGAGAAGGGAATGCTTTTCAAATGCTATCCATCTTTTTTTTGTTTTATCTCAGTATGTTTGAGACAACATTTTTAATGTAAAGTGATAGCACAGTTTAAATGTACCAAAATTAAAATCTTACAGCATTAGAAGATCTGCATAGATATTTGCCTACTTTTCCAAGAGTTCGCAGTGCTATCCGTCTTTGCTTTATTAGCCAATAAAATATACTGCCAGGCTTGCAAAATTCCACTCATATAGGACAATCAATTTTATATGGGACTGAAGCAAATGAATCAATTTAAATGTACAATGGAAGAGTGCTGATTCTATTCAGTTATACCAAGGCAGGAAGTCTCTAGAAGGTCTGGGAAAAAAAGAAAAACTGGAAATAATGGACAGAAGAAAGTTCAAAACTTAATTCCATCAGTCACAAAAGCACAGGCAGAGCTTCCCAGATTATACAGAGGCAAGATATAGCTGTGATTCTACCTTGTATTATTTGACAGGACAAATAAACCAGGCACAAAATGAAACATAGGAGGTGCCCTCTGGGCATCAGTGGACACTTTTTTACTGCAAGGGTGACCAAGCACTGGCACAGATAGCCCAGGAAGGTTGTGGAGTCCCCATCCCTGGAGATTTCCAAAAGCCATCTGCACATAGCCCTGGGCAGCCTGTTCTAGATGACCCTGCTTGAGCAGGGGACTTGGGCAAAATAAACTCCAGAACTTGGGCAAAATAAACTCCAGAAGTCCCTTCCACCCTCAACCATTCAGTGATGCCAAGATAATTGTAATCTAAGCATTTTCATGCATACGATCCAGGAACAACACACTGGATTTGTGTTGCTTGTATTTTCTATAAGGGGCTAAGAATCATGGATTACCACATATACTTCTTGATTACCTGACTACTTATAGGTGTTGTATGAATGCAAGTTAAGCAAAGGAGGACACAGTCTTAAAGCCTCTTGGAAAAAAAGACAGTAAGATCCTGGTGGTATGCATCTTGGCATATCAGTGCATCTCTAGCTCTGAAATAGGGTCCTGTTAACCTCAAACCTGCAGAAAATCTGCTTTATTGTAATCCCTGAGACATGAGGCATTCTTCTAATCTCAAAGAAGTTTTAAACATCATTTATCAATGTCTCCTACATTTAAGTCATCTCACAGCTTCCAGAGTGATGAAACCCTACATTTTTTTAGTAAAAAATGAATAATACTGTGTGTTACATAAAGACATGACAGCACACTAGCACCATGCACACACACCACCACACCCTAGCTCCTAAACAAGCAGCTGTCATGGAGCTGGATCCAACAGAGGAAGACCAAAACCCACTGATAACTGAGGTCTTACCAAACACCCTGCTCCTTGTGTGATTTTTCTGGAAAAAATCTGTCTTAGATTTAAGACGTTTCCAACTGGCATAAAAAGAGATTACACGCACATCTCGCTAAATTCTGACCCTCTGCTCCTTGACCTTACACTTCCCCAGTTACTGTCTCTTAATAGGAAGTAAAACAGCCCTCCTCATCCCCACGCCTCCCCTCCCCTAAACCTCCCGCATCCTATCTACTTCGGGACCCTGCGGGGTGAACCGCGAGACGATGACCAGGGCCGCAGCGCGGAGCCCCTCTAAGAGCAGGGCCGGGCTGGTGCTGCGGAGCGGCCGGCTCGCACGGGCACGGCGCCTCGGAAACGGGAAGTGGCTGCTGGGGAAGCGGAGGGGAGAGTCCTTCCGCGCCCCTTCTCCCTCTTCCCACGGCCACACACCAAGCAGCACGCACTGCCCGTGCGCGGCGGCAGCGGGGAGCCGGCAGAAAAGGGCCACCGCCTTCACCGGGCACCGGGCCCCGCCCCGCGTAGGGCCCACACCGTACAAGGAGCGGCGAGAGATGCGCCCGGGCCAGCCCTCCCCCTGCCTCCCCGCGGACCCTCTGACCGCCCCCCCTCACTGACAGGCCCGACCGCGCGGCGACGGTAAAAAAACACGAACCACGGGTCGAGAGGCGGGCTGGCCCCACGGTCTGCCGGCTCAGCGGCCCGGGAGGACAGACGGGCAACCCGGCTCGGGCAACATCCCCACCCAGCCTTACCTTCTCCTCATCGGACAACTGCTCCTCCAAGTCCGCCATCTTCCCGTCTGCCTCCGCCCGCCACCCCCGGCTCCTCCTCGCAGGAAGGCAGGAAGGGCGGGGCGCTCCTCGCCACTCGCCAGGGAGGGGCGCCTCTGCGCATGCGCAAGATGGGGGTTTGCGCTGTGAAGCGTGGGAGCGTGGTGGCGGGTGAGGGGCGGAGCCTTCCTGCCGGTGCCCATGCCCGTGCCCGGTCGCTGGTGCTTGTGGCGGTGGTTGCCCGGAAGAAGAGGCGGTCCCAGCCGGTGGCTGGGTGTCGCGGCAGGGTCCGAAGCGCCCCTCAGGTCGCCTGCGGATGAGCAGTGGAGGTTACCATCTGTGTTCTAATAGCGAAATCGGGCATTTAAGTGAGATCACGGAAAGGCTGAGCAGACAATTAAAACACACCCCTTATTCGCATGCTCAGTGCGGGTCAGTGCCGCACGGCTGGAGGGAGCACTCGGCCGTGTGATGGGAGAGACTCTAGAAAAGTTTGCTTTGGCACCAGCAAGGGAGACCAAGGAAACAGATTGTGTGAAATGATTTGTACTGTAGGAGGCTGGACATGGAAAAAGAACGTGGTCCCTGCGAGGAAATGCAGAAATAGATTGGAAATTTCACAGAATCAGCTAGGTTGGAAAAGACCTTTGAGATCACAGTCCAACCTTTATCACAGGACTAACAAGTCCACCACTAAACCATGTCACTGAGGGCCACATCCACACAGGTTTTGAACACTTCCAAGGGTGGTGATTCCACCACTTCCCTGGGCAACCTGTTCCAATGCCTGAGCACCTTCTTGGTGAAGATATTTTTCCTAATATCCAATCTAAACCTCCCCTGGCATAGCTTGAGGCCATTACATCTTGTCCTACTACTTGCAGACTGGGAGACCAGCCCCCTCCTGGCTCCATCCTTTCAGGCAGCTGTAGAGAGCAATAAGGTCCCCTTGAGCCTTCTCTTCTCCAGACTAAACAACCCCAGTTCCATCAGCCATTCCTCACCAGTCTTGTGTTCCAGACCCTTCGGCAGCTTTGTTGCCCTTCTGTGGATCTGCTCCAGCACCTCAATGCCTCTCTTGTAATGAGGGGCCCAGAACTTGTTACCATAACAGTAAGAAAATGTGAAGAGCATCTTCTAGCCGTGTGACACTGCAGGTAGCAGAGGAACGTTTGAGATGATGGCTTGCAAGGATCACTGGAAGAAGATAAAATAGATGTTTTGTGGGAAACTGTAAGAGAGACAATATTTGTGTGGCTCAAACCATGTGGGTTTGAAGCTAGTGAAATTCTGTGTCCTCTCCTAGCAGTGATCTAGGAGCAGATGCTCAGGGAGTGGTGAGAGAACAAGGCTGTACATGTTGGCACTTCCTGGGAAAGCTCCTCCCATCCAGCCAGCCATGACACAGAAGATGCTCATCCTCCCCAGCGACTTCATCCTAACATGGGTTGTTGAACTGTTCTTCAAGGGTCTGGTAGACAGTGGGAAGTTTTGTTTTTGTTCAGAAGCTAAGTCAGACTGAGAAATTGGAAAAACAGGAGAAGCTGCTTTGGTCTGGCAGCAGTGATAGTCACAGTCTCTGCCATGCTGCAGAGGGTGAAAAACTGAAGAGGTCTAAAAAGGAACTAGAAAGAAAAGTCAGATGACTTAATCCTTTCTGTTCCTTGGTGTCCTGGGTTCAGCAGTACCAGTCGTTTTTCTCCTTCTGAGTAGTTGGTTGCAGTGCTGTGTTTTTGACTTTTGGCCTGGGAACAGCACTGATAACACCGATATTTTTAGTTTTTGCTCAGTAATGTTTACTCTGACCAAGGACTTTGTGAGTCTCCTGCTCTGCCAGGGAAGAGGGGAAGCCGGGAGGAAGCAGAGACAGGACACCTGACCCAAACTAGCCATATTCCATACCACCGCACGTCATGCCCAGGGTGTAGAAGTGGGGGCAGTTACCCAGAAGGACTAGATCACTGCTGGGGTCAGGCTGGGTATCGGTGGGTGGTGAGCGTTTGTATTCTCTTCCCTTGTTATTTCCCTTGTCATTATTATTATTGGTGATAGCAGCAGTGGTTTCTGTTATACGTTAGTTACTGGACTGTTCTTATCTCAACCTGTGGGAGCTGCATTCTTTAAGTTCTCCTCCCCATCCCTCTGGAAGCTAGGGGAGGAAGGGTGGGGGGGAGTGAGAAAAAGACCATGTGGCTGACTGAGTTTAAACCACAACACTTGTTCAAAAGCAGAACATTGGAAATACTGCTGTTAGCAAAGTAGAGTGTTGGGTTTTGTGAAAACACTAGGATAAAGTATGAATAAAATTGGATGTCTGTAGGCTGCATCTCATTAAAACAAGTGCTGAATTTGTGGGTGATACAAGATCAAGAGCAGCTGAGAGAACAAAATAAATATCCTCATTCCGTGTTCTAAGAAAGGATGACCCTAAAGCCTAATGAAGTAAATCCAAATGTTATATTGTTTGTAAGGGTTACATCAATCTTACATCTTTAATTACATATTTCCTACATATTAATGTTAGGAAATGCAAATATGTATGACGACTTGGAGCTTGAGAAAGACTGTATGATTAGTATAGCAAAGCTAGTGGGTAGAGTCTCATATGATGTTGAAATTGATGGTTGGACCTTGTTCATTTGGGATAGCTAAGGTGTATTATGCCAGAGCGGACATGAGCTGCTTCAAAGTAAGTAAAGTTTCAGAAGAATAAGAAATTAATTATTTTTAAATTAAAGTTCTAATTCATTAAATGAAATATGGCCTGATCTTGTTGAAAAGAAGTTGAATTTCTTAACTGTCTGTTCTAATGTGTGGAAAGAATAAAGTGTTTATTGTTACTTCAAACTGAAGGAAGTATGGTGGAGGAATTATAACCTGATAACTCTTTGGTAACATTTAAAAAATGCATTTTCTTCATGTCCATCACAGTGTACTTCATCCCAGTTATGATGGGCAAGGAAAAGTTGATCATTGACTAGAAAATCACAGGTGTCAAGATACATCAAAGTCGTTAGCGGTTACATGCATACCATGGTTAGTGGTATGAATTTAGCCAGCTTCTACTCAAAGGATCTTGTTATGCCTTAGAATTCATCTACATCTATGTTTTTGCAGGAGTATTTGTACACAATCATTAATGCTGTCACATGCAGTGTAGCAAAATATCACTCATATCTGTAGTATTCTTCAAGGCTCTCATTCTAGGTACCCTAACAGTACTGTTGAATGGAAATCAAGGGAAGTGATATAGCACAAGAAGTCATTACAGTCAAATGGATCCGTGGAAATTACAATGCCACTGAAAATCAATATATGAACAAAGGATGAAAATGAAAAAAAAAAAAAATCAAAATGAATGTACAAGTTGGTCAATAGGACCAATTCAGAGAAGTCCCATTGTCTACAAGTATTTAAAATAACTGTAGCCACAGAGGATAAAGATCATAGACAATAGCTTATTCATATCGGGAATAAAATAAAGGACAACCAAACCTAATGTTTGATAGACCATTGCTAGATGCAAAATGGCAAAGTGTAGAGTGGAAAAGGTACATCTGAAGGACATTTGGCTTTGGAAGATCACACATGTATTATTTGTGATCAATAATAAAAGGTAATAGTCTGTAGCAGGGGAAAGCATTGCCCAACATTCAGTTTCATGCAACAGGAATTTGTAGGTTCCACCCACGAGTCTCAACAGTAGCTAGCTGAGGAGGTCTCTGTTAATTTTTAACACACTTTGGGATATACCAGCTAGGGGATGTTGCTGAGGATGTTGCTTTATTTAGTACGTAATAAGAGGATAGTTCAAAAAGGTAGATCTTAGCAGATAAACACAAATAGTTTTCTTGTGAGTTAATATATCTATCTGTTGTTGGTATCATGTTTACAGCAGTTTTTTTTTCTGTAAGTTTGCTGAAATTAGAATGATGAAGTGAATGATTCAGGGGAAGACTGTGCAGTCATCGTAGGTACTCCTGGGAACCTTCTGTATAGAACACTGGCAGGTGCTTTACTGTGACCTTTGGACTTACTGGGAAATGAATAATCACACAGAAATAAGTATTGTTCTTGCCTTGTGACTCAATGTTTTGCAGTGCTTGTGTGTCTTTTCAGGAAGAATATGGAAATTTCAGAGGAAATTTAAAGAAGGACTAAAAGTAATCCTGAAGATACAGAAAAAAAATCAGGATGTGAGCTTAAGGATGTTAAGATTAAGAAGGGATTTAGGAAATAAAGTGATACCTAAGTTAGTTTGGAATTTGTGTGCATCTTATCTGAAGTCATACATCATTATTTTCTGTTTTAAATTGAACGCATCCAATTTTCAGCCAGTGAATATTCTCATGCTATGAAATTCACCCACGTTAGCAGTCCTTTTCATGTGCCAGTATCTCTACACATTGATCGGAGGTTAATTTGCACTACAATCACATACAGAACAGCAAAATTTACTGTTGCTAACCAGCTAGCTCATGTCTTAGTAGATGTCTAGTCCCGCTACATGAAGCTTACTGTAGGCTATCACATCTGTCTCATGAGCAGTGTGTGGTTTACTGATGCAGTGAGAGAAAAACAAATTAATAATAATAAAGAAAGCAGCTATTGTGTTCCACTTAATCTCAGACATGATAGAGGTACCAATCAAGTATCTCACTGTTTTGCTGCACTGCTGCTGTAATTTCTTTCTGTACTGACTCTGTAGGGCCAGACCCCTGGCCCTTGAGTAGTGCTGGGAGGAAGGGCACAGCAATCCCTCCTGCAGGGCTTTCAAAATGGCTTGAGAGAAGTATTGTTTCTGTGCTAAAGCCATTGCGAAGACTGGTGAGGAGGCAGTGTGACATGGGGGTTAGCACAGTCCTCTGTCCTTCTGCACTGGCCCAAAGATTGAAATAAACAATACAGAAAAAAAGAATTTGCATTTTTATTCTTCTTATTTGAGACAGGTGATTGACATTTGACCTGTTGCAAATGGACAGGAGGACAAGTTTAAATGAGACGTATATTTGCTCAGAGAACAATTTGATGAGCGGTATATTTGGTGCCTACATGTTTAATCTGGTGGATATGCTATGCTCTG